AATGTATGTGCAAGTGGGAATCAATAATTCGAAATGAATTTAAGAGTTGGAGATACAGAACAGTGGAATGACCTCATGGTCTGTTAATAGGTTTTCTACCTAGTAATTTGAAGGGTCCTCAAAAAGTCCATGGAAAAAAATGTACACATGCATTTTGGCACAAATTTTTGCATCAATATAAACTTGCACATTAATCCCATTTTTCCATGAACTTCTTGAAATCCTTTTTACACTAACCTTTGAAATGGACTTTTTTTTCTGTTCTAAGTATAGGAGACCTGTTACAATGTTTGAGTCAAGATTTTCAAATGGAAAATAAGAAATAATGAGCTGAAATCATCACCCCACGTTATCTTGTCTTCTTAGATAACTAAATAATATTTGCTGTGAATTTCCTCATTATTTCATATTTCTCTCCTTTTAGAAGGACTTCTTACCAGATGTATTATAAAAAAAATCACTATTGATTATTACAGGTAAATGCATGATTAAGCCTATTTCAGACTCTAAATTCCATAAGTCACTAATGATGGAAAAATGAATCAATATTTTCCTCCTGAAATAAGAACTCACGTTGAGCTTCAAGGACTCTTAAATTCTAGGAGTTTAGATTAAGTATTAACTAGTGAAAATAATTCATTGCACTTAAAAAGTTTGCATTGTTTAGGTTCCCAGGCCAGAGACAAAGTCTTATTTGCGTTTTGCAAGGCAGTTAGTACAGGTTACACTCTCTTGAATAGACACTGGCATTAATTCTGATGGGTTTTTAGTTTTTCTCTTTATTATTAGATATGATCAGATTGTTTTAGGATGGAAACAGATGTGCAAATTTGCTGTAATAAGCTTTTAAAAAGTTACCTAAAATAACTGTTCTAAGGGAAATGTTTCCCTGTGTAATATTGTTTTTTTTGTTGTTGTTGTTGTTGTTCGAAGAATCTGTGTAGAACATTCTAGAGAAAGGCCTTGGCATGAGTCTATTGAGTATGTTCAACAGAGCAGAGAAACCTCCCATTCCTTTGTGGTAGGGTCAGCAGTCATTCAGCAGTCATTTTTTAATCTGTTCCACAGAGGAGGAAAAAAAAATAGATAATTTTTTTAGTTTGTTGCTGAAGGTTTTTAAAATACTTCACAAACATGTCCGCTAACTCACTGAAATTCATTTAATCTGGAGAAATGAACCTGTCATTGGAGGCTATTTAGAGATTGCCACTCCCCACACAGAACACAAAACAGTTCAGAGGACTACTTCATCCTAGAAGGTGGGTCACCAGAGAGGCTCTGCCTCTGCTTCATGGTCTGGGGTTTAAAGTCTGTCGTGAGTCCATTAAGCTTTTCCTTAACCGACTTTCACAAGTGGCTCTAGGATGTGTAAATAAATCCGAACAATATATATCCCTTAAGTCATTCAAAGGGAGTGTATTAGTGTTTGCTAATGGGAGATTTAAGTGGGGCATTAAGAAAAAGCGGCAAACCAGGATTCTTAATGTGGCACTCTTCCTTTCACTTCAAACTTGTGGGGCTAATGTGAGGATTAAGTGAGATCCTGGGAAGTACCTCACTCTGGAGTGTGCTCGGTGGATGTGTGTATCAATCCTCCTTCCTTTTTTTTTTTTTAAAGAGGTTTTTGCTATAGGAGGGTGCAAGAGATTGCCAGAAAGACAGAGACAGAGAGACAGAAAGCGTGAAATCATCCCCCAGGGGGGATGGTCACGCTGCAATCCCTTCTCCTCCATTCTCCTCTCGAGGTCCTGGGCACACACGCACATGCGCCCGGCGTGAGTTTAAGCCACCGGATCCGGGACTTGAACTGCGGTCGACTATACTGGAGTCCAGTGAGATAGTCATTACGCTAACTGCTGGTTCCAATCCCCCATCCTTTTACTGGCAATGTTTCTGCTTAACATTTTTGTTAATGACTTTATCAATATGGTTAGTGTATTTGAGGGAACTTGAAAAAGTTTGTGGGAACATGGAATTAAAGGACAACTTTTCGGGTTAGTGCCAAACATTTGAAATCCATGAATAGTTTTTTCATAATACAAATTTTCCACGAACTTTTGAAGGCCCCCCCCCCTCCCCACACACCTATGCTTCTCTTAAAACTTTTTTTTAAATTAGAGATTCTTGGCAAACTATTCCTATAATTCAAAAATAGAACGAGAAAACACACACTTTATTTGAGATAAAGTGGAAGCTTGTTTTCCATGCTGTACAAACTTGTCACTTTTTTTCTTTTTGCCTTTGGAAAGTTTCACATTAGCAGCCTGAGAACTTAAAAATACAGTTGATGTTGAAAGAGCTTAACTAAATATTTTAAATTGGTGGTATTGGAAAGCGATTCTGTAAAAATCCAATTAAACTTTTGAAAGCGCTATCCTGTTGAAATATAACTTAAAGGAAGTCAGTTTGGTTTCCCAGAAGTACTGTGCATAGTGTTTCTGGCTGAGGAAGAAAGACCCACGTCTGCTGTTTGGCCAGAAATTGGGTACCAGCTTCCTCTATGATGTTTTGCTTGAACAGTGTTGACACTTGAACAAATCCCATAGAAACTGCCCCAAGTGGGGACTCTGGTTGTCTTTACTTTTATAGTAAGACTTGGCACCTCTCACCAATGATGCAGACACTGGTAGTATTCTTGGCTGAATAATCTATAGATATGCATAAATTGAGGACAAAACCCCAAATGTTTTAGAAACTTTAACGACTACCATATTTCAACCAATCAGTAAAGTAAACCTTAAAAAATATTGCTGCAGTTTATTGCTTTGTAGCCAATAAAAATAGTGAACAAAAAGAGTCTAGTGTCCCTTGTTTCTTAAATAAACTCCGAAAATTCAGTTCTCCTACCATTTAATTATTAAATTCAAAAGACTAGAATGATTTCTTTGAAAATTGAGGCACTTCAGGAATTTTTTTCCCCTTGCCCCAGACATCAGAAATAACTTTCTCTTTCCACTAAGTGACAGTAAAGTATTTAACCAATATGTTTGTTTCTGTGATTTAGTTTTCACAAGGAACAAAAAGCACATCTACAAATGTGATAGCTATATTTACTGCTGCTTTTACAAAGTTCCTAGCAAACAAATCTTACATGAATATGAGAGAAAGGTGATTTATTCCTTATGTTACTTTAAAAGGTTTGTGTGTATTAAGATACTTTCTAGTTAGAATTTACTATGAGGGGGAAAAAATAACCCAGGAGAATTGATGTGAATTTTAAAAATAGTGATAGGAACCAAAAAGGGAATTAAAAATGAAAAAATAAATAAAGTATTTTTTGTATCAGAGCCAGGAGAGAGGAAGGGTGGCCGGGGATGAGTACCACAGGAGACAAAGGTGAAATCTCTTGGGCAATATTGGGGTCCAATTTCAGGTGATCTCTTCTGGCCCATCCTTATCCTGGTGGGGTTCTGTATGAGAGTCAGGAGTGGTTATCAGGACAGCAAAAATATATTAACCACAAGCTGTGGAAATCTCAGCTGATGTGGGTAATGTCTTATAAAATTTAGACTTGGTTGGGTAACCCTACGACTTCCTGAATATGATACTGCTAAATTAGGCAGAAAGGTTGAGTTTCATTGGTACAAAATAACAAGTGTTCAAAGCTCCGAGTTGCTTTGAACACTCCCCTTTCAGAAGAAAATCTTTTCAAAAGGAATGTAGGAGTTAAAAAGGTACGCATGTAAAAATCAGCAGTACGCCAGCAGCGCTTTATCCGACAGCTTCTCATCTTTAAAGACACGTTCATAGCAGGTTATAACAAAATAAAGCATAAATACAGAAACTGCTAGTTCATCTCCGTGAAAGATGAAGTTCTGGGTTTTCTTTAGGGGGAATGCACGATCTTAAATAGGTTTAATTCTAAAACACTGAATTAAGGCGGCATTAGAATTTTTGGTAGTTTGAAAGTTAAAAACAGCTAGCGAATTTTGCGCATGACAGGGTGGGAGGGGCTCGGATATCTCTACTGTTAGAGCAAAGAGAACCGTGAGAGACTGGATAGCTGGAAGGATCAGAGACTTTTTAGATTTATATTGAACCTGCAAAAGCTCCTTGAAGCCAGGCGTTTTGTTCTGCTCATCGTCATATCGCAGACATTCCGTGCCTGGCCCACCACAGACACTTGGCAAACTTTGTATGGGGTGAATTTTTATAATTGCTTAGGTTATCCTACTTGAAAAGAAAAATTACATGCATATATCAGCAAATGTTAGACTCATTATGGTTGATCCTACCGCTGTGAAGCTGTCAATGCCAGACTTCATGATCTGGTTAAGGAATGCATTAACTGTCAAATGCATAAAGCTTTAAAACCATTGCACTTTGAAATTTTTCTAACTTTGTCTTGCTTCAATGTGAAAAGGAGGAGGGTGTGAATGTGTGTGCTAGCATGTATCTCCTGATAGTTTCTCTTGGAGCCTTCCATTCAAGAGAACGGGTTTACATACATTAGCTCGCCTAACTAATTACCACGTAGGACCAGTTTCATGTGAGAGATCACAGTGTGGTACGGGGAATTTATCATGTAGGTGATTTGAGCAGCTTTCTCTTCATTACCTCCTAAATTTTCTCCTCCTTCTAACAGCTATTTGTCCTTTAACAATTTAATTTGGGTTCGTCGATGTAGAAATAGTAATTGCACAATAACGATAAGGCCACCCAACCTCATCTAGCCATTTCATGAACTTATGTATGTAGCAGTACTTAAAAATAAGGGCATTGATTCATTTTGCATTTGCCTGAAATCACCATTCTTTAATTTTTCAGAGGTACACAAAATATTTTTTTCTCTATGTAATTCGAGGTTAAATACCGTTCTGTAAAATGCCTCTCCATTAGATTACTTTAAAGGGGTCTAATATTTGTTTAGTTCATAATGGAATTCATGAACTCTCCTGCCTTTGCTTGGACCACGACTGTCGGAAAATTCCTTCTCAGGCGTTATCTACGATGTTTGTCTTCAGAACAGGCCACCTCACCTCCTTTGTTGGTTGTTACAGGTGAAAAGCCGTACAAGTGCACCTGGGAAGGCTGCGACTGGAGGTTCGCGCGGTCGGACGAGCTGACCCGCCACTACAGAAAGCACACGGGTGCCAAGCCCTTCCAGTGTGGGGTGTGCAACCGCAGCTTCTCCCGCTCCGACCACCTGGCCTTGCACATGAAGAGGCACCAGAACTGAGCACCACCTATGCAAGCTCCCACCACGCCACAGGCAGGGGGGCAGCCCTTGCAACAACAAATTAAACTATTCATATATATATATATACATATATATATATAAAAGAAAAGAAAAGAAAAAAGAAAAAAAAACTGGAAATGTATATTTTGTATATTTGAGAAAACAGGGAATACATTGTATTAATACCAAAGTGTTTGGTCATTTTAAGAATCTGGAATGCTTGCTGCAATGTACATGGGTTTACTCAAGCAGATTTCATCTCACGACAGGTAGCCACATCTCGACGTGGGCGAGGGGCGGGGGTGCAGGGGTGCGTGTGGAGTGTTTTTACCCAGGCGCCATCATTTAACGTGACAGTGTTTAGTAAACAAGTCAGTTGGCAGGCGCCGCAGGAGAGGATGGATTGTATGTCAAGATTTTACTTGACTTTCAGTAATTTTTTTAAATATTAGATAATTCCTTAGAAGTACACAGGAATCTGGCAATTCACAAATAGCCATTGAACAAATGTGTTTTTTAAATACACACACACACACACACACACATATATATGAGTTGCCTATATTTGCTACTCGAAATTTTGTAAATATGCAAATCAGCTTTATAGCTTTATTACAACTTTTTACGATTCTTTGGGGAAAAAAAATCAATTCATTTGAAAATAACCATGAATACACTTTTAGTTAGAATTTGTGGTAAGATACCTCTCAAAACGTTACCAAATTTATTTCTCTGGGGGAACGAATAATCATTCAAATGAACTTTAAAAAGCAGATCTCATGCACTGATTAAAGTAGGATTGTTTATTTTCAATACAAAAGATGTTTTATATGAATTGTAAACTGAAGAGCTTCAAGATAGTTACAATATACAAAAGTTAAACCTCTTACAATAAGCTAAGCAGTATCATTTTTAAAAGAAGAACTTATAAGTTTTCAAAACATGCAGCCATGTTGACTTATGATGCAGTTTTCATGTATGGAAACGTTGACTTTATGATGCAGTTTTCATATACAGAGATGTTTGCAGTACTGTGGGTTTAATATCAATTTATGCGGATTTTGCATGTAATATACAGTGAGACACAGTAATTTCATCGAAATTACAGTGCAGTGTAGTTCTCTATTGTTAATACTGACTCAGTGTCTGCCTTTAAGTATAAATGATATGTTGAAAACTTAAGGAAATGAGTGCTACATATATGCAATATAAACGAGTAATGTGATGCTGATGCTGTTAACCAAAGGGCAGAATACAGAAGCAAAATGCCAAAAGGGGTCTTAATTGAAATGAAAATTTAATTTTGTTTTTAAAATATTGTTTATCTTTATTTATTTTGTGGTAATATAGTAAGTTTTTTTAGAAAAAATTTTCATAACTTGATAAATTATAGTTTTGTTTGTTAGAAAAGTTGCTCTTAAAACACGTGTAAATAGATGACAAGCGGTGTAAATAATTTTGTAAGAGGCTTCAAAATGTTTATACATGGAAACATACCTACATGAAAAGCATAAATCAGTGGCTGTTTTGCTTCTTTTTCCCTCTTATTTTTGTATTGTGGTCATTTCCTATGCAAATAATGGAGCAAACAGCTGTATAGTTGTAGAATTTTTTGAGAGAATGAGATGTTTATATATTAACGACAATTTTTTTTTTGGAAAATAAAAAAGTGCCTAAAAGATTCATGTTGTTGCTTTTTTTTTTTTTTTCTTTTTTAAATCTATGGTACCAAGAACAATTGGTAAATTTCATTCCCAAACCTAGTTAAAATATAATTAGAAGTATAAAGGGTGTTGTAATTCGTGAGTACTTATTTTTCTGGCTACTACACACATACTGCATTAACTCTTTCATTATCATTCATTGAAAACATCATAGAGTAAACTAGCTAGTTTGTAGGCAACAGACAAAACAATTCTTTTCCTTAAGTTTTTGCTAGGAGGTGCATGTGTTTGTCAGACAGGGATAATGAGAAAGCACTCCCTGGGGGGATGCTTTCATACTTTGCAGTATGGCCATCCCTTCTCTATTCTCTTTGGGATTTTTCTCAGGTGTGTATACACACACCTGACATGTCCGTCAAGCCATTGGGTACTGCTCAGTTGGCCATGTAATAGCCAGCCGTCCTAACCACCATGCCACTGTCTGGCCCCAGTGAAGAATTTTAACGTCTTTTTTTTTTTTTCTTTTCAAAAGAAAATCATCAAAGCTTGATTTTTTTTATCCAGTAGCAACAAGCACATGGAGATTTTGCTTGATGGTTGATTCTAGGACTTGGATGGGAAATATGTAAGATACACCTGGAGCATGTTACAATGCCAAAATACTAAAACAATTTTTTAAAATACCCAATAATGATGAGGCTATGTCAGAGCAAAATAGAAAGTTAGGAATGGATTATTACCCAGAGTATAAAGTAGCTCTGTCTATTCTGATGTAATAAGTAAATCGCTGGGTAAATGGGAGAGACACATCTGCTGAATTATTTCAAATGAATTTTGTAGATAATCCAATCTCAAAAAGTAGAAAATACCTTTCCACTTAAGTGCAGGCTGCACTTGGTGACTTCCTTCTGAGGAGTACCGTGTGGAAAGGAGGGGAGGAGCAACCGTGCACTGAAGTCTGTCAACACTCCGTCAACCAGGTGACCAAGGTCCACGGCAGCAGTGTTAAGTCATACTGATAGTATGTACCCTCGATATGATATGATGAAAATGGAACTTTGCCTCAGGTCTTCCTCAAACAAAACCCCAGTCTCATCACGAGTAGCCACAATGGAGGGGGCCTTTCATGAAACACCTGACCAGTACTTGAAGTTGTTAAGATCTTGAAAAACAAAAATCTGAAGTGCACAGCCAAGAGAAGCTTGAGCTGTGATGGCTAAATGGGATGAAGAGTAACCTGCGTGGGATCCTGGAGCACAAAAAGGGCATTAGGGAGAAACTGAGGAAATAAACCATGGGATTCAGTCTATCATTGGCTCATCAGCTGTGTAAGATTCATCGTATTAATGGGGAAACGGGTGGGCTGCGGGAGTGCTATTGTCTTAGTAATTCGGTAAACCTAAAACTCCTCCAATCAAAACTTCATTTCTGAAGAAGGAAAAAATAAAATTATTTTTGCAATAAGTAGCAAGGAGAGGGGTTCCTGATGTTCTCAGACCTAAGAGGAAAGTTGTAGTTACATAACTTGGTGTGGGGTTTTCTCAGCCTCACTCATTTTTGGACTCTCCAGTCCTCCCAGTCATTAAAGTAATAGCTTGCTCAAAGATAGTGCACATGTGCTCACACGCAGAGATACTGCATGTGTGCTCATGCACACAGATACTGCACATGTGTTCTCTCAAATGCAGATACTGCACTTGTGCTCACACAGATACTGCACGTGTTCATGCACACAGATACTGCACATGTGTTCTCATACAGAGATACTGCACATGTGCTCACATACAGATATTGCATGTGTGCTCACTCACACATACTGCACATGTGTTCTCTCACATGCAGATATTGCACATGTGCTCACACACAGATACTGTACATGTGCTCACACAGAGATACTGCACGTGTGTTCACACACACAGATACTGCACATGTGCTCATGCACACAGACACTGCACATGTGCTCACACACAGATACGGTACATTTGCCCTCTCACATCCACAGGTACTGCACGTGTGCTCTCTTACATACACAGGTACTGCACATGTGCTCACACACACACACACAAACACAGATACTGCTCTCTCACACCTACACGAATGCACAGTTTATTTCCCCGTCAGAATTTCTTATTCTTTCACAGGGGAAAAATGCAATTTTTTGGCTTAAACTTATTTCTTGAAATTGAAATAAAGTGACATGACAGACATTTTGAAACAAAGACAACTTTATATATCTAGAAATGACTCCAGAGATGTATCAGTATTTGGTTGTAATTGATACCCGTACGAATCAAGTTTTCTATGAGTGCAAACCCCACTTTCACTCGGATTCCAGCACTTCATTGGATTCAGCTTTCTAACATGTCCGCACCATTATACCCAATTACAGAGCACAGCTATTTCTGGTCGTCTTTTCTCTCCATTAACTGAAGTCTCTCCTTTTGTAGGCTGTCTTCTCTCCTCTCTTGCCAGTTATCTGTTCAAATCCTTGCCAAAGCTCAGGCCCTCAGTCTTGATTAGACACATGGGGACTTTCGTATTTGATGACCTGATGACACTTTAGCATTGGAATTATTTTCAATTTTTATTGGCAATTATACATGTTTTTTCTCTTTAGAGTGTCAGCTCTTTGGAAGAAAAACCACTTCTTAGATTGTCTTCGCATTGCTGCTCTTATTGATTGATAAAGGAGATGCCATGAAAATTACTTTCTGGTGCTATGTGAATTGGCTTAAGCCTTTGCAACAATTGAATAAATCTAATGTTTGCCAAATTCCCTCTTTGCTTTATGCTTTCAATGGATACATTCTTAGTATTGGATTTTTGATAAGGCACGTGGACATAAAACTGATTATAATGCAAACATGTAATGTCCTCATATTTGTAAACCTTATTAGTTGGTTTTCAAAGGAAAATGACTTTCAAAAGACAAGGATGCCTGACAAACTTTTCAAAGTTACAGATAATTTAATTGCTCATTATTGTTAAGCCTATTAAATGAGTATTTGAGTTAAAATATTTTCTGACAGTTTCTTTGTAAACAAGCTACAACAATTAGACAAAATTGAGCGATCCAGCACGTTCCAATTGGCCACAAAGTAATTATGTGATTTGACTTCAAATAAAGAATCCTTTGGGTATTAACAAGCTTCGGTTCATTTTTACTCCCTTCTCCTCAACGTTATCTTGTTTTGCTTCATTTTGTCATTTCATTCTTACATCGCAGCTTTCGTTAAGTGCATCACTTCATGGTATCCAATTAGACAAACCTTAGATAAGCATGACCCGCCTCCTACATAAAAATGTTCTTAAAATCTAGCTAGATTCCTTTTCCTATCTGCAACTAAGCCCACCAGATTTTTTTTGGATTAACTCGTGGGCTGTAACATGACAAAGAAGGGCTTTATTCTCCATTACTAAATCTAGTCTCTACTTTGAAGTTAACCATATTCCATCTTCAGTTAGATTATTTTCCCTGCAGTATAAAACTAATCAATAGAAACCTTTTTTTAATCACTCATGTCAGAGTTATAGGAAATCATTTAATAACTTTTAACAGTGACTATTAAGGAAAAAAATAAGTGTAATAAATGCTTGACAGCTATCTGTGATTGAAAGAGTGTATCTGTGATTGAAAGAGTGGGTTAAACAAAACCAAAAATTTTCCTTTTCTTTGTGAACCAACAATTTTCATTTTATCTCTCCCTCTCTCAGCTTACATCACCCAATGAAAGTATCTGGGCTTAAAGGAATAGTAATATTCTTGAATGTGAAGGTAAATTTATTATTTTTTTTTTGGAGAGGTTTTTCACTATAGGGCGCGTGCGCTCGCCAGACAGACAGAGAGAGACATAGAGACAGAAAGCGAGAAATCACCCCCCAGGGGCATGGTCACGCCGCAATCCCTTCTCCTCCATTCTCCTCTCGGGATCTTGGGCACACACGCACACGCACCCAGAGTGAGTTTTAAGCCACCGGGTCCGGAACGTGAACCACGGTCGACTATGTGGGAGTCCAGTGACATAACCATTACGCTAACTGCTGGTTCCCGTGAAGGTAAACTTTAATGCTATTTGGCAATCAAAGACAATTGAAAGATTCTTTCTCTCTTTTTCTTACTCTCCACCCCCACCCCGTATATGAGGAAACTTCAAAAACTTCATAAATGGAATATATGAATTTTCTTCAGTACAAAAAAAATTTGAAATCAAGCAAAGTTTTTTCATAGTATGCAATTTCTACAAACTTTTACAATTCCCTAAGTATATATACATATGGTTTTTGTCATGGTATTTAGGGGGGATTGATTTTAGGAACCCTGAAGATACCAAATCCAGCATCTTAATAAAATGGCATAGTATTTGCTTATAATACCTGCACACCCTGCCTTCACACTTCTCATCACCTCTAGATTCCTCGTCATACCTAGTACAATGTGAATGTTAGGTAAATAATTATTATACTGTACTATTTAGGGAATAATGACCCCAAAATGTCCATACATGTGCGGGACAGACCCAGCCAACGGAGAACTCAGGTCAGCAGCAGCGTAGCATATTCCATCCGTGGCTGGTTGAGTGCACAGCTATGGAACCCCAGGAATGTATAGGACTGGCTGCATATCAAGTTACGAGACTGCATTCTGGCCATTTGGAAGACGGTATATTGCTTCATTTTAGTTTAATTGCTATGACTTGTTTACAGGAGAAACACACACACACACACACACACACACACACACACACACACAGAGTTGGCTGCATGGGAGGCCTGATATCCGTTCCCAGCCCAGTCTAAAACAGGCGGGCTCAGTGGTGGGCACCTGCAGTCCTACCTAACTCAGAGGCTGGGGGGAGGAGGATTGCCACGTGGTGAAACCTTGTGAAAATATCCCTCTCTCTCTTTTTCTCTCTCTTTCCTATGTGCACACACACACTCCCTCTTTCATTAAAAATAAAAAAGGGCTAGCCCCTTGGCCTGGTGGTTAATAAAGCTGGATCCCATTTAACTACCTATG